GACAATCACGTTCTGCCCTCCTTGCCCCTTCTACACAGATGGCTAAAGCTCTTCAGCCCTCTGCCAAGCCTGTAACTGCCAAGGTGGCTGCACCACCTTTGCAATCCTCAGCTGTTAGGATGTGCAGAAGGATGGATGCTAATGAATCACAATTGGTTTGGGATATTTCTATGGCGATGAAGCAAATTCTTGGTGTTAACATAGTGCAGAGTGATGTGCTGTCAGAATGCTCCAGCGTCCCCAGGACATGCAGTACACACCACTGAGTAAATCTCTAAGTCCTCATGCAACAAATCATTATTTTCAGCCTCTCATTTTCAAGCAGTCTCTCCCCCTTTCACATTTGTCAGCCTGTCTGTCTGCCTGCTTTTATCATTTCCTTAGGTCTTGAAGAACTTGTTTGGATCATGCAACTCCTCCTATACCACTTGCTCACCCTGATATCCGACTTGTCTCCAGAAATTCTAATCAATTAAAAGAAAATAATTAAAGCAACTGGATTACTTTATCAACAAGGGCACATGGAAAGCCTCTTCTGCTGTATGAAGTCTTGGCCTTCCCCTGGAGAAATGCTGGGAAGAAGGTTACCAATAAGCTCTTCAACTGCCTCACCTGAATCGCTAATGGGAAATCTCCAGCTCATAGCAGCTTTTCATGCTCTTTTCACCGGGGAGATCTCACTGCCATCTTCAGCACTACCACTGTACCCAGACCACAGCAGTTTGAAACTGAAAGGAATATTGCCCTGAGACAGGAGAGGTGCAGCGTTTTAAAATGTCTAACACTTCAGAGACTGAGATAAAGGAAAATACTGTGTAGAACATGGGAAAGAATAAAATCCTATGGTGAGCAAGGGAAAGGCATTTGATGGGTTTGCTGCCCACCAAGAATGCAGTATGCAACATGACCCTTTATTCCTTTTATGTTCTCATATCTCATTTGACACTGGAGTGTCTGGTTAAATAGAAAGGAATAGAGAAACTCTGGAAAACTGCAAAGAAAACAGGCTTCATGCATACCTGGCTCTGGATTTTTATGGTGTTAATTAAGAGGATGCCTAGGAGTTCCAGGGAGGAGAAAATATTTCCCATAATGTCTGAGAGTAGAAGTTAACAAGCCTGCCGGGATCTTTTTAGGCCCTGCAGAGCTAAGGCTTCAGCATTATTAAATGGCTGTCACATCCAAAGTACAGTGCAGCATAACTCAGTACACAACAGAAAGCACAGGATGCTGAAATGGGGGATGACTTTAGATTACACCGCAGAGCAATTCAATTTCAGGACAGGTGTTTGCATGTGACTGAACAAGATACGGCTGTGCAAAACCAATAAAGGTACGCAAAAGAAGGGAGCAGACAGACACAGCAGGCTGGGCTCCCAAACAGCAAAAAAAGTGTCAAACGAAGCCACATGCTTCAAGACGCTGTGGTTCAGCACAGTCACTCAAAGCAGATGAGCTATCAAAAACTACAGACACTACAGAAGCAGAGAAGCGCTTCCTTCGGATGGTGGTACTCCTCAGAAGACATGGCATCTGCTGGCACTTAATTTTTTTAGCACATAATCAAGTGACTCAAGAATTGTAGCAACCGAGGCCAAGTCCCAGGGACTTTGTTACAGGGACACAAGTTACTTTGTTATTGCTCTAGCTCACTTGGGTACATGTGAAAAGTTTACCTTAAAGCCTTTCCCTACGCAAGCGCAGCTACTTCCCATTGCAATCAGCGATCGGAAGGATTACACTGTATTTGATGGGACTTTAAGGTGTACATTCTAGGGTTGCCTGCTTAGAAATATTTCACCGCACCTAACCCTTAAAATACACGCATGTTAAGCCACTTTCCTTTCTACAGATAAATTTTTATAGTGTACTCAGAAAGGACCTGTTCTTAAGTCATTGCTATGCATCAAATGCGCGACACGGCGTACAGAAATTAATATCTACCTTTTGTTTAACTCCCTTAGAGCACATTTCTTTTAAATCCAAAAACACAGTAAGCAAGATGTTCCTCTTCAAACGGGACTGCTTTCTGACATCCTAATTCATTCTCCAAGTGAGCAAGGTCTTCCCTGACTTCAGTGAACGTGTTAGGTGTCCACCTAGCAAATGGAACTGCATGGGAAGTGGCCAAAAACCCCAGCAGCATGAGCATTCATAATCAGGCAGACAAAAATTGATAGATGCTCACTGTTACCCACCCCAAATCAGCACTATATAACATGATACTGACAAATCTACCAGCTTAACTGAGTTTCCCTGAGGCATGATGTGTATAGTCCACAGCATTTTGTATGAACACAGAAATGGTAATATCTTCCAAGTGTCCTGTAGCTGGCAGAGTCGTCCAAGTCATGACGGTTCTATGCACCTCTAAGTGAAATACATAGTCCAAAGTGACTTACACAATTGGGGGGGCAGGAAGGAAACAAGTACTTATTATGGTAATTACTGCTCTAGGAAAAAAACAAACTGGCTTCATTTATCATCTTTCTCATGACACAAGCACCTTGTCCAGCCTAAACAATACACAGAGATTTCATTATGTAAGCTCATAAAAGTAGACTAACTGGTCATGACACTGAAATCCAAAGTCTGGCACAGAACCTCAACACCCCAACTGCATAACTTATATGAGTGCTTAGAAAAATGAGCAAAGAAATAGTCAGTGCAATCACAATGCAGAATCACCACAACCAGTTAACCTCTCTTACAATACAGACAATTTCAGTGCAAACTAAATCATAGTTCAATGATTTAAAGCAAGAAATTCCCAATACAAGTACAAAGCAGTGTTCGTATGAAAGAGGCTGTGACGCCCTTGAATGGCCTTAAATTTTCCCGAGGCCCTTGAAATTCTTTTCTGTTCAGTACCAAATCCCACCACTAAGAGGTTTCCTTAGGCAGGAGAAACTTTATTTTTGCCCCCATTTAACAAACTACACTATATCAAACAGCAGTTTATATAATGTGTATTGTAACCTGAATGCTAATGTCATGGGATTTGAGCACTTTCCTTGCTTTATAAGTGTCACACCAGGAAAGGGAAACAACAGCATATGAAACAGTAAACCAGATGACATCCAACTCCATCTCTGAGGCTACCCCTTGAGTTCCATAATTTGGCAGAACTCTCCAGTAAGGAGACCAAAGGCGGAACCCTAGGTTCGCAACACCTTCCTCAACCCCATGTCTCCCACCAAATGCAATGCTTTCCTGCCTTGCAAGATGCAATCCTAACACAGAAGGTCAAATAGATTCAACGAGACTTCCAAGTGGCAGAAATTAGGCACCAGAGAGCAAAGATGCCTGCAGCTGCTCTGGACACTGCTGGAGGTGGCAGCAGGGGACCTTGCACTGTCCCCAAGAACCTCCAGAGGTCACAAGGAAAATTCTTCACCAAATGTATGTGTATCCCAGACACATGAAATCTGGATGAAGGTGACAAAAAGCATTGCAAAACACTCAACGAAGGTCAAACCTCACCCTGCCTTTTGACTCCCCTACTCCCTGTCAACACCACAACCATGCTGGAAGCCCCAGCTGAGAGCACCGCAGTCACCTTGTGAGGGCTCTTGTGTGGTGCCAGCAGCCAGTTCCAGCACCAGGCACCCTCCCTGCATGTTCAGGCCTGGGAACAGATAAACAAGAGCATCCTCACAGGGCAAACCAGGCACGCACATGGAGGATAGTTAAAGAAAAAAGCCATCATTCAAGGCTGATGAAGGCTTTACAGTCAATAGCCAACAGGAGTGGCACTCAGGACAGACTGCAGCTCTTACTCCAGCCTGTAAACTCCCTGGGACAAGGGCTGCTTTTTTGCTCGCTTGCATGGTGTTTTAACATGTGGAGGCTTGGCCAGATGGAGGGCTATGGGGCAGCGGCAGGGAGGAAACAAACACTGCCATACAGCAACACTGCAGTGAAGAACAGCCACGCAGGCTACAGGGTGGTCTTTCTTTCCACCTTCCAGCCAGCCACTTGGATTGCATTAGCTGCCTGCTCCTTATCAAGCTCTTCAGTTCCCCCTCATGTTACTCAATTCCATCATGCCGTCACTTAACTTATGCATGTAATTTAAAGTTGGATAGACAGCGGGGAAATTGCTTCCTCTGAGGCCCCTACTAATTGACCCCTATCCACAGAGCTCAGCAGTCTTCCCTTAACAGCACTCACATGCGCTACCACAACACGAAGTGCAAGTTCGGAGGTTGCCAGCGCAGCCTCTCTCCCCTGTGGCAATGCCATATGGTGTTAAGATTTTCAGGATCAGCCGCCATTCCTGCTGGAATCAATCATCACAACCCTATCCCAGGCAAAGTCTATCTCAGACTCTCACTGGCTTGAAACGAGGTGAGGTGCCTCGGACTTGGATGCTTGCATTTACTATTTCAGGTCAGTATGCAAACATTAATAGCGCACATATCAGTTAGTGGGGCTGTTAGAAACAAAGCAAGTGGCACCAGCTATGGTGACAACCTGCCCAAACAGCAGAGAGTTCACGTTTGGGCTGAACCTGTCAGACCCTGCCAATGCAAGTCAGCCACTCCACCTGACTTTGCTGCCACAGTAATGAAAAGGAGGAGAGGGGCAACTGAGATTCATACAGTGAATCAGGACGGTTTACTTCAGAGGGAGGGGGACATAAAGTAACATCAGGCTCCTAATCTTCATAACCTGCAGCAGAAGTTACAGACATGTATACCAATCAGAAGAAAATAAGTAGTCTCTATGGGTAAATAAAGATTATGTCTCTTTAAACCGACTGTAAATCTGAATGAACACAGAATATACATACACAAGTAGGCAGCGTGCAACGTGACGTCAATCTTATTTTTATAGATTTATTATTACTGTACATAAAATTTCCTAGTAATGATAACATTCTATGAAAAATACTAGAGCATAGGGACACTTTTAACGTGAAAATGGTACAAGAAAAATAGAGAAAAAATATAATTCAAGTGTTAAAAAAAAAAAAAAAAAAAAAACAACCCAAAACGCTGGGAGGGAAGCATTCCATTAAAAATGCAAAGGTCAGGGACTGGAAAGCATTCATGTGGATCTTTCTTTGATTCCATGTATTAACCTTGAGAGTTATATCCTATGCCTTCATTGCACGAGTAGAAGAAAAGATTTAAAGGAAAAAGAGAGAAATGGTTTCCGTGGGATCAGCCAGCTTACTGTTTACTGGTATCATTCTCATTCTTCGTTTATTTCAGTTTTAAGCACAGTTCCGCCCCCCTGCCTTGAATCATCTCCACAACTTGCTGCCACTGTTGGGCCTGATTCACAAATCTCCTGAGTACATAGTGGAATGTGAGCCCTGGGACCATGCCTGCGGGGGTGAATGGGGATTACCCACATGGAGCTGCTGCCTCTCCAGGAGCAGAGGCCAAAGCAAGCTGCCCTCACTGCCAAGCCCTCAGGTAGGCCCTGCCACTCTCCAACACCCTTCCAGCTGGTGGCCTCGCAGCCAGTGCACTGCAGCTGCACACGTGCTTCAGGCAGCCCTGCTGTCACTCTTCATCAGTTAATTGAAATAAAAGGAAGAAGGAGAAGATACAAGGAAAACTACCACATAAGAAAGTTACTCTGCCTCTCCTACTGACAAACCATGTTTCTGCATAGAAATTAGCCGCATCCTGTGACAGAACTTTGCGATGGGCCACAACCTGCAGAGAAGCAATGCCTTACTGACACCTCCACAGCTGGAATGAGAAACCTGCTTCCTTCCACTCACAGCACAGCAGCAGAGTTTTTGCATTTATGTATCCATCAGAACACAAAGAGGAGAGAGTGAGTGGGGGAGAAAGAGTGAAGAAAAGAAATGAAGACAGGTGGTTATGAGGGTACACAAGTGGCTAATTAAACCGTGGGCTTTACTAGTCACAGTGGTTAAACAGTTTTAACAGGCGGCATTCTCATAACACACCTGAGTAGTTTTTAAGGCTGTCGAAAACCTCTGTCAGGAGCGAGGAAGTTCTGTAAATGTGCTCAGAGATGCACACAAACCCACAGGAAGATCTGATAACGCACAAATTCGTTTCTTCCAGAGATAGCTCACTCTCTGCACAAATCGATAAGCCATCAGAACCCATCATTTATCACAAACATTAAATCCCAGCGGCACCCTGGTCTGCAAGCCCAATGAGGGACCTGGCATACAAAGGCACCCCTGCTGTGGGGTGGTGTGGGAAGGATTCTCTACATCTCTGGTTGGGGGGAGTCTCTTTTGGGCTGTACTCATTATAACCCATCACTAACAGATCAGGGCGTAAAGTACCTTCTTTGTGAACTTGTTACAAAGCCCACAGAGGCGTATCATTGAGGAAAACAAGGGCTCAAAGCCCAATCCTAGTTTCTAGCACCTGGGGAGTCCATCCTGGTTCCTGCATAGGTGGCAGTGGGTCACCACAAGCCCACAAGAAAGAGCTAGGAGGATGGTTAGCTACAAATGGAACTTTCAGCATGGACAGTGCACTCTTGTGAGGAGGAATTCATTGGTTGGTTTGATGGGGCTGCTTAGGGTTAGGGAAGAGTTAATGGCATCAGCCAAATGTCAGTTAAACCCCACAATGCTGCTTTTGTCCCATGGCAGTATTGCTCCAAACTCCGTTATTCTATTTATTTAATGGTGATCAAATTAATGGGCTCCTGGTGTTGCTTTTTCCCTGGAATCCTTTACCCCACCTCCTTCTTCTTGAAGAGAACTCCTACAAGCAGTGAGTAAGGGAATAACAGCCCTGCTCACACACACACAGAGAGGGAAGTTGCAATTTCTCACTTAGTTGCTAATTTCTGTGACTACAAACCTCGATGTCACCCAGCATACATTGCTCCTTTGTACTAAATCCATCATCCCCGACACCTTCAGATGCATCTGTGTGTCTTACCAGCAACACTATAATTTTAATAATGACAAGGGATTAAGGATGATTACTAGTCTTTCCCCTCGCTTGTTTCCTTCGCCAAATGGTATCAGCCCATTGCCGTTTTGTGTATTTGGGTTCCCATTGTCTGTTGTACCCACTACATGAACTGGAATGTCTGTGAGATGGGAGCTGCCTGTCTCTCCTACATCCAGCAAACCTGAAACCTGTCCTTACAGCTTTGGAAAACATAATACGTTGTCAGTGCCGACGACGCGTTGTCAAAATAACCGTATGTGCAAATCAGTTTGGTCATCCCTGTGCTAAATTTCCATTGTGTTTTACACACCGTGAGCGGGTTATTTCGTAAAAGACGCTGCCAAAGGGATTAATGTGGGCACATTTCACAGACTACCAGGCTCTAGGGCCAGCTGTCTCTCTCAGACAAACTGCTACCAGCCAGCCTGGAGATGAACTCGCCATTGCTTTTCCCTGAACTTCCGACGGCGTTCAGCTGAAACTTTCCCTTTCCCACCTCCCTGTCCCCACAGACAGCCACGAATCTCCCTTAAAAAATGAGGACGAAGAAGAAAATGAGAAGAAAAGGAACCAGAGAGAGCCAGCAGTCTTATGGGAACAGCACGGCAGGTACACCAGGCGAGCAGCGTCTCGTCACGGCCACGGGCTGGCGGGGAGGGGCCGGCGCCCCGCGGCAGCCCCCCGGCTCCGCAGGGCCGGGTCGCCCTCGGGGGCGGCTCTCCGTCCCTCCTCGGCGGGGCCGGCTGCCGGGGGGCGCAGCGCTCGGCGGGGCGCCACGGGGGGCGGCGTTTCTCATCCCTGCGGGGCGGAGAAGGGGCGGGCGGGCGGCGGGGCAGCGCCGCGGGGGGCCGCGCCCGCGGCGGGGGCACCCTCAGAGCCTGAAGGAGGCCTCGGAAAAGGGATGCTGCATCTTGAAGCTAGACAAGAAGCACTGGAGGGGCGGGGGCAGGGGGTTGAGAAGGGACGGCGGGAGGCTGGGGAAAAAGAAATCATCTCCTCTGACCTCTAGCGAAGTGCCCGGTTTTTTCTTAAGCTCTTCACATTTCCTAAATTTGCAGATCTGGTGTCCCGTTTTGCGGTTCCTGCAACTGCTGCAGACTCCACAGTTGATGAGCCGCTTGCAGGGCACGCACACCCCGCAGCGTTTCCGCTTCTTCTTGGCGGGGTTGCCCGCCCCGGCCCCGGCCCCGCTGCCGCCGCCGGCCCCCCCTCCGCCGCCACCGCCACCGCCGCCACCGCCGCCGCCTCCGCCGCCCCCCGCGCCGGCGGCGGCGCCCAGGGCGGAGGCGGGCGAGGCCGAGGCGTGGCTCTGCGGGCAGTCCGCCAGGTTGGCGATCTGGAAGGCGCTGTCTGTGACGGCGGCCGAGGCCGCGGCGGGGGAGTGCAGGGCCGTCATGACGATGACCCCGGGGGGCAGGGAGAGGCCGCCCAGCGCCGGGATGGCCGAGAAGGTGCCGACGCGCTCGGGCAGGTTCATGATCTCGGCTTCGGCGGCGCCGCACTTGAGCTTGTTCATGCACTCTCCGGCCAGCGGCCGGCAGTGCTCGGGGGAGAGGGTGGAGAGGAAGTTGCCGTTGGCCATGGGCAGGGCGGGCTGCTCTGCCGGCGGGCAGCCGGGCTTGCCCAGCCGCTGCGAGTCGCTCCGGTGGTGCATGCCGCCCCTGCCGGCGTGCAGCGAGGAGGCGGCGGCGGCGGCCGCGGAGGCGGAGGCGGCGGCGGCAGAGGAGGGCTTCCTCGCACCGCCCGCCGCGCCGCCGCCGCCGCCGCCGCTGCCCCAGAGCATGGCGGTGGCGGCGGCGGCCGTGGCGGTGTCGCAGTTCCAGGGGGACATGCCGATGCGGGCGGCGGCGGCGGCGGCGGCGCTGGGGAAGATGGGGGTGGTGATGCGGGCGATCTTGGCCGCCTGTGGGAAGGCGCCGCCGTTGGTCTTGTAGAAGGTGGCGAAGGAGCGGTACCTCTCCATCTCCGAGTTGTAATCCACAAGGCTGTTGAGGGCCCCCTCGGGCAGGTGGCTGTCCTTGGGCAGCCCCGGCGCCTCGGGGTTGGGGCCGCTCTCCACGCACACGTTGGTGTTCATGGTGGCCGGGGAGGGCGGCGGGGAGGGACGGGGCTGGAGGGTGGGGGGCCGAGGGGAGAGGGACGGGGCGAGGGGGGCTGGGGTGGCTGTCGCTTAATCCTCCTCCTCCTCCCTCTCCGGGCGCATTCCCGCCGTCGGTGCCTGGCCGGGCAGCCGCTCCTCCTGCATCCTCACGGGAGCTGCCGCAGCTGAAACACAGAAAGTCATTTCCGAGGGGGTGCCCGCGCGGCGGGGGGGGGGGGGGGGGATAACGGCCACCCCCCGAGAAGAGGGGGACACCGACACACTCGACACGCCACGACGCGACACGAGGCGGGGGGGCAAAGAGGACGGGGATGGGACACGGGAACCGGGAGCTGCCCACCTACCATCTCCACCGGGGGATGTGAAAAGGCAGTGAAAGGGAAGGAAAGGATAAATAAAAGGAATTACAGAAATAAAGAGGAAAAGGAGGGGGGTAGGGGGGAACCGCCAGCTGCTACCGTGTCCTTCTGCGCCCGGCGGCCGTGAGCTGCCTGCCGGCACCGCCGTTCGCTGCTGGCGGGAGGGGGGTGGCGTTGGGGGGAAGGTTAAAACCCGAAATAATAATAATAGTAATAAAATATAATACTTAAGGCGGCAATTTCACAGCCTGTGATCCAGGTGCCCGCAGCTGTGCTGAAAGCGGAGTGCTCATTCCCATCCCAGCCTTCGGGGAGGGTTCCCCCGCCCCGCAGGGGGGGCGGGGGGCAGCCCGCGGGCACGGCGCTGTACCTGCCGCTCGGCCCTCTCGGAGTAAGGCAATTTGTCCTCTTCGGGGTCAGGAAAGTTTAGGAGGGGGCAAGGAGACAGTGCTGGTTTTACCCCCCCTCTCCCTCCCCGGGAGGTGAAGCGGGGTGTTTTAGTTGATGGCAGTGAGGAAGGGACATTATAGCAGCTTGCCTGAACTAAAGCAAAACACAAACATAACTTAAAAAGCCCTCAGTTTGTGAACACTGCCTCTTTGTTTTCCAGATGCTCTACCTGAATAGTTTATAGATATTTCCAGCATCTTTTCTGATGCGGGGCTACAGATCAGAAATGTTCACTTGGGAGGCACTCGTGGGGCTGCGTCTAGTTTCCAGACTCCGGTACGTTTAGATCAAAACGGTTATCAATTACGGTAATTACTATCATAATTAGATTAATGAACCGTTGGCAGCCCGACCTACCGAGTGCAAAAAACTTCTCCTTCCCCCGACGTCGTGCACTAAAAGCAGGCTTTATGTAAACAAATCCAGATGAGGGGAGAGTCAACCTACAGAGGAAACCTCGCCCTCGGCTGCATTAGGGGCCGGCGGGCGTCTTCCCGTCGGGAAAAAGACAGACCCCGAGCCCGCAGGAGCCACCGCCGCGTTCCCACGTCAGGGACAAACCCGGGCTACCGTTGCCTCCAGAGGTCTGGTGGCAATACAAAGGCTGCCCCGGAAAGCTCTAGGCTAAGCGGCGTCTTCTGGAGGGATGCGAAGGATTTGCATATGGGGGGGAGGACGGGGGACGGGGCCGGGGACGGACACGACACAAAAAGGAAAAAAATCCCCTCTCCCGTTTCCAGGAAGGAAAATCTAGCCGCACGTCCTCGGTAACAACTCCTCAATAAAACTAGTTGTGCCAGCCATGTGTAGGAAAGCCACGCATCTGGTAAGGAACGAAGCGTTGGCGTTCAGCCCTTTATGCCAGAAGTCGGGGAGCATTCGCATTATCTGCCCTGTCGTCTCTCCCCCCCCCCCCCCCCCCCAACCCCCAGCGTCAAAGTGGCTCTCCACAAAGCTCCCCTCGCTGCGACCGCCTCCCTCCAAAGGTTTATTGCCACCAGGAGCGAGAAAATGATGGTGCTCACCAGCCGGGTCATTATTGTTTAATCGATGCAGCTCCGGAGCATGAAAAGGGCACCCGAGACGCAGTTATGGATTTCTCCCCACCACCACCCCCTTAACTATCGCCCTCTTTTCCGCAAATGAAAGGAATAAATAGAAATCGCCAGCCGGGCTTCGCGGTTCTGTCCCTGCTTGAGCTAAATGTGACCGTACATGTTCAATATTGCACGTCTGCTCTGCCAAAGACAGAGAGATCAAAGGTCACATTTAACATTCAGGAGGAGGGGCGGGTGCAGATTAATTAATAAATTAATATAGCGGCGCCTTTTATTGCCCAAGTCTGGCATTAATCTACTTTTACGATTCCAGAGGACAAGAATGAGAAAGGAAAAAAAAAGCCCCCTACAAAAACACAAAATTTAAAAAAGAAAGAAAAACAGAAAACCCACCCCGTAAAAAAATAAATTTAAAGGAAAAAAAAAAAAAGATAATAAAACCCCAAAGAAGAACCCACGACGGAGAAGGGGGAAAGGAGGACGGGGGGGAAAAAGCAAACCAGTCACTTACCAGGCTCTTTATTTGGGGGGGCTTGAGTGTGCAGACGCTACCAGCCTGCCTGCCTTTAATTAGTTGCACATCAGTCCCTAACACAAAGAAGAAGAAGAAGAAGAAAAATATCCAGATGTGCCTTGGCAGCTCCTCAATTACAACTTTGATACTTGTAAACAAACTGCGAGGGGCGTTGGGGGGGTGGGTGTGCGGGGGGGATAAATTAAGCCGCCGATCCACTAAACAAATACCTGTGAGTGGCTTTTCTTCCCCCCTCTCCCTCTCTCGCTCGTTGCAGAGAAAGGAGGAGGAGGAGGAGGAGGAGGAGGGGGGAGAGAGAGCAGGGGAGGCGGCGGGGGGCGAGGAAGGAGCAGGCACAGAGGGAGGGCGGGATGTGTGTGTGTGTGTGTGTGAGAGAGAGAGAGAGAGAGAATGCGTGTGCGCGGTGGTCTCGCCGCCCGTCTCCCGGCGCCCGCCCTCGCACACAGCGCCGGGAGTGCGTGTGCGTGTGGCGGAGCGGGGGAGGGGAGAGGACGGGCGGGGGGAAGGAGGGCGGGCGGGAGGCGGCAGCGGCGGGGCGATCGCCGCCGAGGTGAGGGAGGGAGCGCGCTCGGGGCGGGCGCAGGGCCGCGGACAACCGGCGGCGCCGAGAGCTGCCGGGACCGCCGCCGCCGAGCGGCGCGCACGGGCCGCGGAGCAGCGCAGGGCAGCGCGGGGGGCCCGCCGCCGCCCCCCATCCCTTTCCCTCGGCGCGGCGGGGCGCTGCGGACGGCGGCCGCCCGGTGCGGGGCTGCCGGCGGGGGCGTGGCCGCGCAGCGCCGCAGAGGGGAAGGGGGGTGCGGGAGCAGCGGGAGGACGCGCCCCGCCGCGCCGCCCGCTTCGCCCCTTCCTCACCCCCGGCTCCCCGCTTCGCCGGCAAAGTTTGTGCCCCGGTTAAGTTTCCCCCGCCTCGTCCATCCCGGAGCGGCTCCCGCAGCAGGAGGTCGCTGCCCAGGCGAGCGCACGGCCACGCAGCACTTAATTGTTCGAACGCGTTTGCGTATCCCCAGCAGCCACCGTCTCCCCCCGCCGTTATTATTATCATTGCAGGCGTGTGAGGTGTTGCAGGTTTGGGGAATATTTAGGTGAAACGGAGCCAGGTGAACCGTGGATGTTCACAAGGGTTTCGGGCATCACTGGAAGCACTGCCCGAGTCTTTCCCGTGAGGATGTTTGTGCCAGCAACCAGGAGGCACGCAGCACCTGCCCATGCAGGCCACATGGACCCCGCACCCAAGCACCCAACATTCAACCAGTTCTCTCAACAAGCTGCTGACATACCGGTATTGCACGCAAACTCAGCAGTTCTTAAAGAATTTCATCAACTGAGAGTATGAAAAAATCCCAACCAAACCCACCTGCCTTCCCTGGAGTCCTTGCAAGCACAGAAAAGGGCCTGTGTTCACTGAATAAATTATGAATCACAAGTTCTCCATCCAGTTCCTCTTAGCACCTCCAGAGCAAGTGCTGGCACTCACAAGAGACCTTACTGCAGTCAGCGCGGGAGCTAAGCAGTTAAGAACGGGGTATCTCTGCCAGGGAAATCATTTTAGCCATTTATAAATTACAGGAAAAGAAGGGGAAATCATACTATTTTATTGGTTTTATACATAAGGAAATGAAGGCTTTATTCACAGATGGAAGTTTCGCTTCCTATCCTCCAATCTGAATTCAAGGTCTGGGTGCTCAGCGCTAGGGAATTACCCACAGTAAGGTGTTGCAGGGACTTTCTCCCAGGAGTGGTAAGGAGAGGTGGATTTCAGCAGCGGGGTTTGGCTACGACCAGCAGCCTCGTGGTTATTGCTGTCACAACTGGTACAGAAGAGGGACAGTTATGGTCAAGAGGGTAGCTAGCAGATCCCTGAGAAGCCTCAGCATTGGCACGTTATGGACTGGTATGCTTTATTTGGAACCAGTGCCATTTATCCAACTAATAACCTGGCTCTAACCACTCGACATGCATTTTAAAATCTCCCAAAACATGTATTTACATAATAAAGCATAACCTCCCAACTAGCTAGCGTTGTCCCTTGTGGCAGTTCTGCCTTTTTCAAAGTCTTTTCTGTTTTGATACATTTTAAGATGAACTTAAGGGGGAAAATACAAATGAGGGGAAACAATGTTTCGCTAATGTCATAAAGTGACAAAAAACAAGCGCGTTTCCTGTTGAGGTTCATCCCCTACCACTTTTATCCCAAATTAGTTGTCAAAAGCCACACATGATGCTCCAAATACTAAGAATGTTTTTCAAATAGACTTCTCCTGAACTCCAAACTTCCTTTAATCACAACCCAGGTCTCACTTAAGCAATCCTTTCTGAGTTCATTTATTACTCTTGAAGGGGTTACATTTTTAATAACCTAAAGGAGGAAAAGGGGAAAACGCTGATAATCTTTTCTCATGCATAAAGAAGACCATTTCATGTACTTTTTAATTGTCATGTGAATTAAACTGCAGCACTATATATACCCTTTCTGCTCTGGCCTGGAATAGTTGTACACTTTTCTGGTGTTGGGGAAGAAGAGTGGAAGCCAGGTCAGGTGGGTTTTCTCTGAAACCTTTTGCTCAGTAGAGGCTTTCGTTCTTTGTCCTCGATACGAATCTGTTTTCTCCTGCAGTCTGCCCTGAGCCTGGCAGCCAAGGAGGACTGGAAGAGTGGAAAGTGC